TTCACAATTCCTTTCTAACTTAACAACGCTTAAGGGCTAAACTTATGTCAATTATATGCAAATAATTTGTTATCTCTTTGTGTTTTTTTTCTAATATCATACACTAGTTTACAAAATACTTTTTTTTTCAAATACAATTACAAATTTAGTTCTAGTTTAACGGTAGGAGAAGATAATAAACGTAAAACATACCTTATTCTTAACTGGAAGTCTCCTCTACAAACTTGCGCGTATCTAATTTGTCATCGATCCCGCCATCAATGGGGGTGGTTATGGAAATATTAACACCCCCACTACTGCTGGCATTTAAATTCAATGCTGTATTCGCTGGCGTACCATTTCTACATTTGTTGTTGTGATATTGTGTTGGCTGGTGATGTTGATGATGATGGTGATGAGAGGTGGCCACTGGTGAGGCCAAATTCGCATTGGACTTCTTGTTGTTCAACAAATGTTCACAATCCAAAGAAAAACTTTGTGCTGAGCATTCTGTACCAGAGATGGTTTTAATCATTGAATTTGAGGTTAGTGATTCGAGTTCATGGGATTCGGAATTGATGAGTTCCCCCACCGCTGAACTGGAGGGAGTGAGCAATTGCTCCCTGGCTTTTATGTAATTTGGCTTCCGTTCATAAAACTTAATACCACCATTTGTGGCAGAGCGTTTCTTGACTCGAGGATATTGAAATTGCATAAAACCATATTGCGGGCCGAACAGTTTCAATAGACTCATTAGGAAAAATGTTGAATAACTCCAACTGACGGACATGACAACCAACAGAAATATGCCAATTTGACGATAGGGCAAAACACTGGAGAACAACATTAAGGCCCCAGCAATCCCTGTGGTTATGGCCGCCATGGCTGTGGGCCCAATAATGCGTGACAAAGAAAATTGCGTGGCCGCCAGCCTTTCACACGAGGGCGACAGACGATAATGTATGCCATAGTGCAGACTAAAATCCACTGCCAAACCAATGGCTGTGCTCACCGTAACACTTTCCAAAATGTTTAGCTTCCAACCCAACATAATTAGTATGGCCACGGTCACAAAAATGGTAAGCAACACCGTTATCACTGCATACAAGCTTATCAAAATATTCAGCGTAACCAATAGCAGCACCACCAGCGAGGCTGACATTGCCACACTAATGGCCACCAGAGTACAGGTGGGCAGACTCTTCTGGACATCGTAAAACTTTAAATCACTAACAAACCAACCATCTTGCATTTCAGGCGGAGCTGTTTTTAATTCATCTTGAAACCAAGTCTCTACATCTTCAACAAATTGTTTCACTTTGTCGTAGTGCGTGGAGAATGAAACATTCGATTCGAATTCCACAACCAAAGCTTTAACAATGGGTGGGGGCGTGGTGGTTGTTACATTGGCCACGGTTGACTCCAATGTGGAATTGGGTGAAATTTCTTCACTCAACAATGTATTGTTAATGTCTAATGTCCTAGGTGATGCCATGAATTTAGGACCAGCCACTCCAGGCCAAAAATATTCCCTTGGCGTGGCATACAGCGATGATATGATCTGTGGTAAACATATATCAAAAACTTCGGGTTCATAGGGAAACTTGGAGATGTCACAACATGGAGTGCGATCCGTATCGTCCATACTGTTGACACACCTGCAATGGGAGGGAATACAAGGAATTAGAAGAAAAATTATAAGTAAACAAGTTAAATAGTATCAGTCGGTTTTACCGACAGATGTATAGATGTATATGTATAGGCCTTGAGTTATGATTATTCACCTCCCCCTTTATGGGGCAGGTTCAGGAGCAATTGGCCCCACAATTGACCATTACATATCTGACCTGAGACTGATATAAATATTACCAAGTGCAAGTTTTGGACTATATCGACTACTTCCTATACTTTATATGAGATATGTGTAAATTTTTGGAAAATGTGGAAATATGCGTGTGGTGCCAGATATAGCGGACGGAAGTATTCCATTTAAATACATCATCTAATACAGATAAAAATATTGGTACGTGCAAAATTTAAAGGAAATGGAATGGAATACGGTGTTAATTTCGGGTTTTATGAGCTTCATGGATATTCAAAATGTTGACCCTTTATGGCTGAGGTACCAGAAGGGGTTCGCAGATGTATATCATCTTCACAACAGATCTTGTGAAAGCAAAAATATTTGTATGTGTGAAATTTGAAGAGAGTTGGATGCTTATTTTGATTCCTTTGAGCGTCTTATTTTTCAAAATCTTAAACCCTCTATAGGGGAGGTACCAGAAGGAATAGTTTGATCTCTACCATCTTTATAACAGATCTTGTGTTGGTGGAAATATTGAGATATACCAAGTCTGAATGGAATCCGGTGGTAATTTCGCATTTTATGAGCTTCATGAATATTCAAAAAAATTGACCCTTTGTGGGGGAGGTACCAGAAGGAGAGAACCGATATATCCCATCTTCACAGCAGATCCTGTGTTAGTAGAAATAATGGGATGTGTGAAATATGAAGATAATCGGATGCTTATTTTGGTTTTTACAATAGTTTTGGTTATTCAAAACGTTGACCCTTTGTGGGGCAGGCACCAGAAAGAATGGTCCAATCGCTACAATCTTTATAACAGGATCTTGTGTTGACGAAAATATTGAAATAAACCAAGTCTGAATGGAATCTGATGTTAATTTCGCGTTTTATGAGCTTCATGAATATTCAAATTTTTAAACCTTTGTGGGGGAGGAACCCGAAGAAGTAAACCGATATAGTCCATCTTCACACCAGACATTGGGTTTATGGCAATATTGTGATGTGTGTAATTTGAAGACAATCGGACTCTTACATCACTTTTTTAAGAGTTATAATTATTTAGATTTTGAACCTTTGTTGGGGAGGTACTTGACGCAGTGGGTCGATATTGTCCATTTTCGCAGCTGACCTATCACTGCTACAAATATTAGGATTTGCAAAGTTGGAGCACAATCGAATTATTCTTTCTCATTCTGTGCAGTAAATAATTTTCTTCGAAAATCTTGACATTTTGTGTGGGAGGTACCAGAAAGAGTGGACCGATACTGTCCACCTCCGAACTTGACCTAAGCTTGACAATAATATTATGATGTACCAAGTTTGGATCAAATCGGATACTCCCTTCGAGAGTTGTCATGTGCACCAGCCAGACAGACGGACGGACGGACATTGCTAGATCGACTCCAAATCTCCTGCAACGGAGTTGGTCCAAAGAGATATAGGGTCTAAACCCTTTATTTCGATGAGGCACGTTATATACCCTGCACTGATATATTCCCTCTCTCTAGTCATATGGCTGAGGGTATAAAAATTATGGT